CTATGGCCCGGTCTGTGGGAGGGCTCCCAGCACTTATCTAACCCACATATAGTATATAGGGTCTCCTAAGTCCCAGAGGGCCCCTGTGCAGCTATTGACAGTTACATAGGAATAAGCTATGGCCCGGTCTGTGGGAGGGCTCCCAGCACCTATCTAACCCACATGTAGTATATATGGACCCCTAAGTCCCAGAGGGCCCTTATCCATCTGAGCCACATCTAATAAGTATGGACACCAGAGGACCACTGTGCAGTTGCCCACTGCACAGATGGTATACACTACAGTATCTGGCCCTGGCTGTATCATTTTAGATATTTCTTCTTAATTTCCTCACACCTAGGTGTGCCCCGTGGTTTGCTAATTTACATCAACGCTAAATCACCCTTAAAGCCTCTTTCCACTTCCCTTCCTAGAATTTCATTTTCTGTAGCATTCACTGTGAATAATTTGATTGTTCTGTGCTATATTTTAACCCCTTCGTGACGGGAGACGTACACTGTACGTCCAGCCACAAAGGGACCAAATGACTCGTCACGTACACTGTACGTGACGAGTTATTTGCTGCACTAGAAGGCTGCTAACCGCTGAGAATCAGCGGTTACCTTTCAGTAATAGATGTCTAACTATCTAGAGATCCATTACTGAAAGGGTTAACCTTTTTCAGACACCCGATACCTTAATATCGGGTGTCTGAGAGTCACAGCAAAGCAGACACACATGTCGGCTTTTGCCGGCATTCTGACAGCTCGTATAGATCGAGAGATATCTCTCTCAAGCTATACTGGCTTTTTTTTTTTTTATCTTTTGACTTTCAAGAATAGATACAAAATGTTATGTATTAGACACATAATGTATCTATTCTTGAAAGTAGAATGTTTAAGTTTTCTGAAACATTCACTGACAGCTGAATCCTGAACTGCTGCAGGATCAGTGTCACTAACTTATTATCGGCTGTTCTGAAGTTTGAAGCAGCCTGATAATAAAAAAAATGTATTAATTTATCAAGCAGTAATAGTGAGATTAATTCACAATGACTGCCTGATATAATTAAATAAATAAAATTTGTCAGTATAAAAAAAGTGAAAAGTGTAAATAAATAAAAAAAAATAGTGAAAAGTGTAAAAAAATTAAAAATAAGGGACAAATAAATGAATGTATGTATTGCATTTTTTTTTAGCTGTGCTGGTTTTGTTAAAAAAAAATACTACAAATCAAAACTGGGAAAAAAAGTTTTTTTTTACGTTTTTTCCTCTTTTTTTAATTTGTATTTGTCCTAAGTGAGGCGTTAGACACACATATGTGATATAAATATATAGCCCTATCTGTCCTCTAAAAAACAATATATAATATGTGTGGGTGCACTTTGTAAGAAAGTATATTACTGACGTGGAAGAATCACACAGCAAAAATGTCAAAAGTGTGTCAGTCATTTACGAACAGAAACCAAAAACAAGCTCAGTCATGAAGGGGTTAAAATGCACATCTTTAAGGGTGCCCACCAAATGCTGTCAATGTGTCTTCCTACAGTCACTCTGCACCTACCATCTTTTCCTGTGTTTTCATACTAATTCTTATCCTTGATTACCATATCTCCTCCAGGCAGTACTTTTCTTTCTCCAACATCTGTCCTCAGCAGGACTTTTTTTCTGTCCTTCACAAGATCCAGCTGGTGGTTCATGCAGCATTAATATAACATTGTGTTTTATAATTAGATGTATCTAGTTCTTGTTTGTCACATCTTATTTCTACCATGTCCTTTGGATCGTCAGCTCAGCTATGACTGTCATATTATGTCATTATGTTAATGCAAGTATCTTATTTTGTGATTTCTCCAAACTGTAAAGGGCTATGAAATATGTTGGTGTTATCAAATAAATATGAAATATAATATACCGAAGCATAGCTTATTTATCTTGCCAAGCCCTAGGCCACAACGTACTTTGTAAAAGAAATATGGAAGGGGATGTACAACTGACCACTGGAAACACAAATGGTTGCTTGCCTGCACTACATGCATAATAATGGATTGCATCTGTCTACACTGGTGTGTAGTGTACGCGTCCTGCATACACATGGCCCACTATTGTTATCCATGTTTCATCTGATAAAACAAATGAGTTTGTAGCATACTTAAAAAACAAATCACTGTATTGAAATTGTGTTGGAACACATACGTTTCCCATCTGCCCTCCCACATTGCAGTGCTCAGTGTCAGGGTGCTGTGGTTAGGTGTGTGTGTGCGGTATCTACCAGTGTGCAAGAACTGACTTTCAGGACATGTCACTTGTCATTCAGGATCTTTTGTAGGTGCTGCAGAAGAGATCAGGGTAGTAGGTGGGATTTGTGACGGTAAAGAAAAGAACTGCTGCTGGCTAGTTGTCCCCCATTGACGGCATCAAGTACAATGTAGGGTCAAAAGCCCAGTGAGGGCCCGACTACAGAGAGAAGAAGAGAGCACCAGAGTCTGCTAGAGCAGGGAATAGTATCAGTATTACACTTTATTCCTTTACCTTAGGCAACTACGAGCATTTACATCTTGCAGTGCAGAGCAAGAGGCCCATTGCACGGGTAGTTTATTTTTATATTCCCAGATTTTAGCTTTGATGAAAATTGTACTTAAAAGTAAAACCTAAATCCAGTCGCAAAAAAAAACGCTTATAAGCTTTAACGTGGTAATGTAATTTCAGTCTTTTTGAATCTGCAGCTTTCATTAAAAAATACATGACAATCTTGCTGTGAATGTCCTTGTTAGGTACTTCCTGTTATGGGGTGACAACTCAACTGTCTTCCAATTTTGCTGCTGAGTTGTCACCCTGTTACATACAGCCCTGTTGGAAGGCTATAAGGGGCTATGCTGAGACACAAGCAAGCAGGGGTGCCCCTACACTTTTTGCCGCCTGAGGAGGGGTGGGGGGTGCTGGTGGTGAATGTTACCATATGTGACCCAAGGAGATTTTGACCGCTGTTGTCACTATTAGGAATCTGGAATATATGCATCTGTCACTGGAGTGATAAGTAGTACTAAGATGCAGAAAAGGGATAAGAAGAAGCTGAAAACTTGATTATGATACACAGTACTTTAGTAAACTAGATTTAGTTCATTTCAGGTTTCAATCTACTGGTCTACAAGACAACCTGTATTGAGAGATGCATAGATGCTGTTACTGCTGCTCTCTCCCTATTCCTGAGGCTGTTATGCCAGTAGATTTACAGTAATACTGGCTTAGATTAGAAGTTATCAACTCATTCTGACTTCATTTGCTACATGCTTGTTCCAGGTATTAAAGTCAGAGAGTCAGCACTGACAACCACCTAGCATCTTCAGAAGGAAAGCAGCAATGGTTGTCCTTTATTTCTCACAGCCCATCGTTTTTGACATGCCAACAAAATTCCATGTTTGTATACAAGATAAAAGCCAGGTTGTAAAGCTCCTGTGATGTCCTGGCACTACCACCTACAAAACCAAAGTCATGTCAGGTACAGGTGCCTTATAGTGGCTGATGTTAAAGCCCCACTCCAGATTGCTAGAATAAGTGCAAACCTTATTCCTCGCTCCTGCAACCTTCCTCCTGTCACTGAGAGGCAAGTTATCCTTGCTATCTGGGTGGTAGTCCTCCATTATATGGGAGGACTGTGAAGACCTGCCTACATTCTGGAACATCAGACAGCGGAGAAGAATGCTCAGCTGCTGGGTGAGTGGGGAATAAGGTAAGTATTTGTACTTTCCCTCCTAACCTAACAAGCAATTAACCCA